AGAAGGAGAAGAAGAAGGAGAAGAAGAAGGAGAAGAAGGAGAAGGAAGACTCGAGGTGTGCTGTTCATGCCTGGGCCAACCCTCCATAAAGGATTTGCGAGGAGGAGAGCCGGGCACAACCTGTTGACAGAGGAGAGCAGGGCTCCCGCACAAACAAGCTGGCTCCACCTGGAGCAAGGGATTAGAAACCTCGGCACAGCCCTCCGCRGATTCCTTTAAGCAAACTGACTGTGGCTGGAGGGCAGGGATTAAACCCGGCGCTGAGGAATGCGGCTCCTTCCCCGCTGCGGAGCCCAAGTTGGCACCGCGTCCCCACTCAAGATTCGGCTTACATAATGGAGCTTATGAAAGCAAAACAGCACGGCCATGCCGGCCTGTGGGCAGCCAGGGKTGGGAGGGAAGGAAGGAAAAGAAAGGCGGTTTTTGGCCGAGGTGAAGCCTCGCTGCCCCCTGCCCCAATCTTGCACCATGTCAGGAAAGGGAGGGAGCAGTGAGGGAGAAGAGCTCAGTCCTCCTACAAAACTGAAGTGCTGCAGTCCCAGTGCTCATTCTGGACTCACGGAATATGGATTTTCCTCCCGTTTTGCCCCTCTGAGCCTGGGTTTCTCCCCAGCCAAGCAGGTTCCCATTGAAGTCAACCACTGCAGGTTTTAGAGGGCTAACCCACAGTAAGTGCCCAGCCCCAAAATTCATCCTTTCTGAACCCAGACACCTCAAAGGTAGCTGGGAGATGCTCTAACCCACATCATCTCCCATTCAGCGTGGACAGCAGCAGGACTGTGTCTGCCCAGAGCCCTTCTCCACATATTCCCATCAAAGGTCAGTGCACAAAAAAGGGGAACAGTCCCCAAACACCCAGCTCATGGCARAGTCATGAGGGCCAGACTGAGATCACCATTCACGCACCAGGCCATTCACAAGTGACATCTGTAGGCATCCAGCTGAGTCACCACTCRGTGACTGATACCCCCATAATCTGTATGGCCCCGGAAAAGCAGATCCTACAGATGGACCYGCCCCTTTATCAGCGAGCAAAGAGCCAGAGTTCACTTTTCGGCGCATGCTGAAACCACTGCAAATAGGTCGTGAGTCCCAGCTGGAGAGCCYGGAGAGCCACTCGTGGGTGGAGGAGCCACTCAGGAGCCAGCCCCGGTCTGAATCTGCATCCAGCTGGCTGGGGAAACCCGCAGACCTAAGGAGATCTTCCCTTTGGAGAGCTCCCACTTGTTCCCTAAGAGCTGTCCTCAGTTTAATCAGTAACTGAGCGAGTGGGGTGAGATCCCGGCTCAGGGAAGCCGGATTGTGGATGTGTGTGATTGCAGGGTTCCCCTCCCGGCTCCACCGCCTTTCTCTAAGGGCTCACACGAGAAATCACCCACCGGCTCACACCTGGCCTGCCTCCAGCACCCTTCCAGAGCATGCCCTGGTCTCCTTTCAGGGGGAAAGGACCTGCAGMCACTCTTCCCAAGGCTTTTATCAGCTGATGAGCAGCAAGCTGAGGCTCCTCCGAGCCCCACATCACAGAGCTCCAAGAGGCGTTCAAGGGAACAAAGCAGGGCTGCTCTGATAASAGAAGCTTCAATCCCAAACAGAAGCTCTTGCAAATCGCCCCTTCAGCAGTTTGTGCCCGGCTTCCTTCCTGGGGCCATCCCTTCCCATCCTCCACAGGCAGGAGGAGATGCAGGACASTCACATGGGCCAGTATCAACATCCCAGGAAAAGGGGAAAACACGACTGGGGGAAATAAAARAAGTTTCACCTGGCAGCAAGGAGTGCCTCTCTTCTCTCCCAGGTAAGGGCATCCAAAAGACAGCTCAGCAAATCCTTACCCACCTAAGGCTGGCTGATTCCTCCTCCAGATGTGCTCAGGGAGGGAGAGAGGTGTTGTTCAGCGAGAGGGTCTGCAAGCCTGTGAAAGCTGATCTACCAAAAAAAATGGTAATCGAGGAAGATCAAATAGCACTAAAACCCCCCACAAAATAGTAAGGGAAGCGGATACTGGAGCAGCATCAGGGCACTCTGGGAATGTGAAAGGGTMGGAGAAATCCAAGCAGCCACACCAGATGCACCAGGCTCTGCAGAAAGGGAAAATCCCTCGTGTGAAGATGATAACTGGGCTGGCACAGCCCGGCACTGTGAAAAGATGCTTCAAGTGTGATCTTGATTAGCTCGTGTGCTCCAGGCTGTATTTGAAGGGAGCTGTGGCTGATCTTACTTTGATTGCCTTAAGATCCAGTTGTGGGGGGAAGCCTGGCGTGGGAGCAGATGTAATAATGGGTTTGGAGCAGCCTCGTCTCCGAAGCTGGTGTTTGATTAAAAGCGAGCACAACCAACAGGCTCTTCAAAAAGCTGCTGCTATTTCTGTCTGCTTCATTTGGAGCAGTTCCTGATGCTTGGATGTGCCCAGCAAACCCTTTGGGACCRATCCCTGCTATATCATTACTCACATTTTAAGGATATGTGAGTACAGAGAAAAGGGATTCACTTCCTCCTGAGAGGCTCAGATCAAAAGTCAAAATGTTTTCTATGAATACATAAGACATAAATTCAGCTTCTGAGGGTTTCAGGCTCAATTTGTAAGAGCCCCATGGCCTTAAGAGGAGGCCTCCCTCCCCTCCAGAGCTGGGAAATCGTGTTTAGTTAACTACAAAGCAGATTCAGTAAGCACGCTTTAGGCAAAAAAGTCAGAAAATAATGTCTAGAGGGAATAAACTATTTTTTTCCCCTTCTAATTCATTATAATCTTTTTTCTTTCCCCTATACTTTTAATAATGATCTGAAAAGCCATTTCCCAGCACAATGTTGTTCCGACCTTGTTTTCAGCCGGGTAATTGTGCAGTGAGTGGATAAATGCTTCCTCAGCTGAGAACAAGARGAACCATTAAGCATCAAGCTCCTGACCTAAATTTACGTTCAGGGCAGCTGGGGGGAGCAAAGGACTGATGCCTGCTCCCTTCATCCAGCCTGATGGACAGCCTGGAGATGGCMTCTTCCTCAGGGACACCCAAATGGCACAGGGAGATGCTGTTTATCCCAAGCACCAGGGAATGTGTCCCTGCCTGTGGCAGGGGGTGGGTGGAATGTGGTGATATTTAAGGTTCATTCCAAACCAAACCAAACCAYGATTCTGTGRCAGAACACAAAGCCTGGCTGCCCATCAGCTCCTGCCTTGGTGATGCATAGTGGCCAAAACTTAGCCTTGTTTGTTCCCTTTTCCCATTTTTTTTTTATTGTCCGGGACAAAGGGGTCTCTGGAGGGACCGGGATTCAGCCTTGAGGATTCACACTGTTCGGAAGTACAGGAACTTTTAAAAAAGAAAACAAACAGAAAAACCATGTCTTGTCTCTCCTTCTGTGCCAATGCCTTCAGAAAAGTTTCCTTAGTTCAGGTATAACCCATTTTTTTCCTCTGTAACATTTTCTTGGAAGGCATAAAGAACAACAGCTGCCCTGTCCCTGAGCCCAAATCAGTGCAAAATCTCAGCATTTCTGGGGTTTGTTTTGGCTGCAGCACCCCAGCTCCCAAGCCCTTGTGGCTGTGCCAGGATGGGAGGAAAGGACGTGGTGTTCACTTTGCTTCTGTTCCAGTCACACCCCACCCCACCCGGGCACAGGGACAGGGGGATTTTGGGCATTTTGGGATTTTGCCTTCAATGTTCCCCAAAGGGGAGATGCAGGAAAACAGCTGGTCCACAAAAACCTGATAGCAGGAACGGCCTCATCAACCCAGCAGGATGCTCAAGTGCAGTTAACCCAGTTTTAAAGATGGGAATGGTTAAATCACCCATCCCTGAATGAAGCACCTCCCAGGGAGCACGGAAATAGCACAAAAAAAAGTTATAAAGGACCAGGGGAGCAAAGTGACACATTTCTATTGCTTTGGTTATTTTCCTAAATGACTGGGTTTATGCCAAAGGTGGATGAGCAGCATTTTCTCCAYAGGCAGAGTGGGAGAGGGTTTTTTTTCCACAAAGCCTTCTTTTAAATGACATTTTGTTTTCTTTAGGATTTCTGTATCCTGTAGAACTTGTGAGGAGGAGCTGGGCAAATGCACAAACACSTGTACTGACCCCAAAACCCTCCTTATGGACACTCATGAGTCCAGGCCCTTTCCCATCCCAAAAACACCCAGCTGGTTCCATCTCTCCTTGGAGAACCAATCACCACTGATGAATTCCCATTTTCAGGAGAGCAGAAGATGGGAAAATCAGGAAGATGCTTGGCCCCCCACAAGTGAAAAGCCACATCTACCCACTWTCAGAGTCCTTTTAAATGGTGAAGGCAACACATGTACAAAAAGAGGCCGCAGAAGTCRGATTTAAGGTTTTGTTCTTTTTTTCTTTTTTTATTACAAAAAAAAAAAAGAAAATCTATTCGGAAGAAGTCCAAATGCAACGGAATATAACTGGCACCATCTGAGATACCCAAGTGTAAAATCCCAGAACGTTTGAACCCCGCAGCAGGAGCTGGGGGTGCCAGGGCTGGCCGGGAGGGACAGGTGGCCTCTCCCTTCCCTTCTCCTAGCCCCCATCCCGGCTGGATGGCAGGCAGCCCGGGAGAGCCAGGACACAACAGTGGCATCAACGGTCTCTGTAAAACCATTCAGTCGGAGAAACTAAGAACATTATGAAAAAAAAATCTAAAACTTCTTTTTTTTTTTTTCTTTTTTCTTTTTTTTTCCATTATCCAAAGCCCTGCTTTAGTGACATGCTAGCCCTGCTGGACAGGTGACACACCCACGGCTCTGGAGAGTCCGGAACGCTGTTGACCAGTCAACTCTTGGTTCAGGACACCTTCCTCCCGCTCTGAGCGTGTCACGGCCACTCGAGTTACAGTGACAATGTTTCTGCAGGCTCCCCGCTCTGGGAACCCCCTCCTGCAAGCTCCACTCCRTGCTGGAACAAATCTCATCCAATTCTCCCTCCAAGCTTGCCCTCAGTCCCACCTGGAGGCCTCTGATGGCATCCGTACGAGCTCTGCCTGCTCCAGCTGGATGAGGCATTGGAACGTCATCTCTTTAAGAAAAAAACACTTCCATATATAATTTTTTTTTTGCTGTTTTTATATTTAAATAGAAAAATACTACTTCACTCTGTGTTATGAGCCAGAGATSGGTTGACTTCCAGTGACAGAACCAGGAGTTCTCCTCAACGCTCCTACGCTGAGCTCAATGCCAGAAGATTCCCAGAAACCTCAGAGTGGCCGGAGGGCGACGATCTTCCTGTCATCTCCCCCACACAGGCAGGAGCACACGCACRGCTCCCATCACCACAGCTCCCATCTTCCCTTCTCCACAGAAAGGCACCAACCTTAGAGAGCCATCGGTCTGCAGGGGGCTGACMCCCCCCAAATCTGACTCTGTTTTAAGCTTTCTCTCTCCTGCTGCCTTTCTGTGTGTGCAGTCTGTCCCTGGAAGCCACTGGATCCCATCGGATGTACACATGAATTAGACAAAAAAAATAAAACAGTGGTTAAAAGTTCTCTAACACCCCGTCCTCCTCTCGTCTTCTGAAGAGTCAATGACAAACAGACATGGATAAAACTAAACCTGCCCTCCTCCCCACCTCAAGACAACAAGAGTTACTGAGACACAAAACATGTTATCTTGTACCCTTGGGATTACAGCTAGAAGGGAAGTTTAGGGGCGCGGGGAGCGCGGGGGGAGGCGGTGTCTGCGGGGCGCAGTCTGCTTAGTTCTTGTACTCAAAAGGCTCATCCCCGGTTTCGTTGAGGAGACACGTGCGGACCAGGGCCTCTGTCACAGCGTAGGGGTCGCAGTTGGCCGAGGGCCGGCGGTCCTCGAAGTAGCCCTTCTTCTCGTGGCCCACGCTGCGCGGGATGCGGATGCTGGCGCCGCGGTTGGCCACGCCGGCCGAGAACTCGTTGATGTTGGACGTCTCGTGGAAGCCCGTCAGGCGCCTGGCATTGTCCAGCCCCCCCTTGGGGTCATAGGCACGGATGTGGTACTGGTGGCGCTTGCTCAGCTTCTCGATGGCCTCCTCGATGTGCCTGMGGGRYGGGAAGGGACAGGGACAGGTGAGGRATGGGACGAGCTGAGCCCCTCTGGGCTGTGTGTCAAAGTGACACCACATTCATCGCTGTCCCCAGTGCCTTGTGCCTGGAAATCCCCTTGGCTGCTCATCCCAACACAGGGTTTCTCTCCACTCCTGCTGCTGACCCGGGACAAGGATCCTCATGGCCAAATCCCACAGGCTCCATAGGGAGTGCTGTCTGTGAGACACGAGCTCAGCCCACAGCCAAACTTCCCACTTCCACCCTCTCTCTCTCTCACCCTCCTCAGCACCRGAGTTTCTGTTCATGAAGCTCACACACTCGTGGGCTGCCCCGATATCTCAGGGYAGCATCACTAAGATTAAGGTAAGGAAACAGAGCTGCCAGGATGGATCCCTGTATGCAGCTCCACTGCAGTCCAGTGCCACAGGGTCCCTGCCTGCACTCAGCACATCAGTCCCATGCAGGAACTCGGGAACTGCATTTTTAGGATGTTCACCTTTAAGAAATATGGCAGCTTTGCCTAGACAGAAGCAAATGGTCTCTCTGTCACCATGGTTCTAAAATAAGAATTAAAAAAAAGGACTGCGCTGAGTTTGTTTGTTCCCAGCACCAGCAGATCAAGAGCAGGACAGGGATAGCTGCATCCTGGCTGCCTGTATTTCCATCAGCACTAGTGGAGCTGTATTGCTGGCTAATTGCCCGCCCAGCATCAAGACAAGAATGTATCATTATAAAAAATACATATAAAAAAGAACAAACCACAAAAACAAAACAAGCAAAAAAAAACATCCAGAAGAAAGACTCAGATGTCATGCCAAGCACTAGAGCAACAACCGTGTCATCCAAAGCATTGCAAAATCCTGCTGCACAGTAAACATCTCCAGCACTTACTTGAGACCTCCTTCTTCCCTCATGCTCTTGGTGCTGAAGTTGGTGTGGCAGCCAGCACCGTTCCAGTTCCCAGGGATGGGCTTGGGATCGAAGGACACCACGACCCCGAAGTCCTCRCACACCCGGTGCAGGATGAAGCGCGCGATCCAGAGGTGATCCCCCATCTCAATCCCTTCGCATGGTCCCACCTGGAACTCCCACTGCAAGGAGGAGGAGTCAGGGGCTCAGTGGAGCAGAGACAGGCACCTCCCACSCCCTGATCCCCCGATCCTGGGCACAGCCTCACAGCTCAGGGCTGGCACACACAGCTCTGGCTGCCTGGGACTTTTCTGCACCACTCTCTCGCTCCATGAGGCATCTCAGAATGCTTTACCTGGGCTGGCATCACTTCTGCGTTGGTTCCTCCGATTTTCACGCCGGCATAAAGGCACGCTCGGTAGTGGGCCTCCACAATGTCCCTGCCATAGGCTTTGTCTGCCCCCACACCGCAGTAATACGGACCTGCAACAGCATGGGTGGACATCAGCCTCCACAGGGAAAAATGCTGACATTCAGTGAAGACCCAGCACACCCAGGGGAGAGCTCTCCAAAGGTTTGGGGGCTGTGAAAATGCCCTAAATCTGGAAGAACTAGCAGAGTGCAACACTGATGCACAGCAAGTTCCCCCTGAGTTTACGTCTCCCCCTGAGTTTAAGTTCCCTCCAGACCAACAAACCAAGCAGCAAATTTGGACATGGCCAATCCCCACCTCATCCTTTCTGTAATGTGCTTAATGTTGTGGATAATTTTTGCCAATATCCCGCTTTCTMCTGTCCACCTTCGGTTCTAGGAACATCTTGGATCTCTCAGCTCGCCTGAAGCTGTGTGACACAGATTTCCCTTCAAACACTCCTGACTTTGTCCAGACTCCCAAAAGATTACCTTGAGGTCCAGGGAAGCCATTGGAAGGCCAGCCGAATGGATGTCCGTCTGTCCCCAGGAGAGTGTACTCCTGCTCCATCCCAAACCAGGGGTGCTGGTTGGACACCATGTCCATAATCCTCCTGCAGGTGTACCGGAGATTTGAGTCTGCAACAGAAAAGTGACACRAGGCTCATGAGCATCTCCACCTCCACTACCCATTTCACTTTTTTTTACAGTTCGAGTCCCAGTAGTATWGAAGAATCCCAAACCCAGCCCTTTCTCCATCACCAGCACTTTGTTTGCCCTTCACTTTCAAGGCAGGGATTATTTCTGCGGCATGCTAAGGGCACAGACAGCATTTGGGCAGGTCTCCATTCCCCTTCCCGGGAACACCACCTCCACCAGGAGAAGGGAGAAGGGAGAAGGTGCATTCATTCACCTGCAGACTGGCGGTTGTATTTGAAGACCTCGCAGAGWACGAGTTTGTTGGGGTCCTTGCGGAAAGGGTCCCGGAACATGGCAGCAGGTCGCAGGTACATGTCGCTGTTGGAGCCTTCRGACTGGTAGGTGCTGGAGCCATCGAAATTCCACTCAGGGAGATCTGGAGCAAAGAGAGGAACGAGCCACAGTGAGCCAGGGTGCCTAGTCCCCAGGATGGGCTCCCTGCCACCCTCCAGTAAGGCAGAGGTGAAGATGCTCACAGGCCTGCAATAGGTTTAGTCCCAGCTCAGCTGATTTTGTTCCAAGTGGGGGAAGCAAAAAAAAAAACTCCAAACAAGCAAAATACATAGGAATGCAACTCTCCAGCCACCCTGGGAAATAACAAGTTGCTGGGCTGCTGGCCAAGCCTGAGTGAAGCGAGCAGCACTGAGGACATTTCCCATGTCACAACAACCACAGGGATGAGCAAAGCACCCGGTCCCCTCGGCTGGGGGAGGGCAGACCACGAGCCATCTTCCAGCTGTGGGAATGAAGGCAGCCATGGAATACCCTCCTCCATAGCCTGAAGAAGGTGGGGAAGCAAATCATACATAGGTGGAACCTCACATGGAAGGGGAGGGCGGCCAGCAGGGCCCCTCACGCTCCCTTCCATGCTGAGCACTGCCCTCCAGGTCAAAGCCCACAACTCCACCCGGGCAATGTTATCTCCTCCATATCCCAGGGGAAAGAGAGAGGATGGGAGGCACAAAGATTTCAAAGGAGCTGTGCCAACCACTCCCTCAGAGGGAAAAGGGGAAAGGAGAGAGGAGAAAAAAAAAAAAAAAAAAGAAGAAAAAGGAAAGAAAAAAGATAATTCTGCTCAGTCACACACAGTATTTTCATTTCATAACTGTCTCCAGCCAGCTCCATGGCAACCTGGGGAAAATCCTAATGCTATTATTGTGTAAGCTGGGACTGTTTGTTCTGAGGGACACAAGCTCTTAATTACACCGGATAGCTCCATTCTTTCCCCTGCACTTTCTTCTGCCAAACTACTTCCGGCCAAAACGAGTACTCGAGAGTCAATGGGCAGCTGAGCCCCTGCCAACAGCCCCCAGCCCCTGCCAACGGCCCCCTCCATGGCAGGGACAGCACCAAGGACGGGCTCCCAGCCCCAGGCATCTCCCTGAAACTCCACATCTGGAGAGCTGGGAACGTTCCCCTGCGGTATCTGGGGAAAGAGGTAACTGGAAGGGCACAAGGAGGAATGTCTTCCCTAAAAACCATCCTTCTGCCATGGCAAGTGAGAAATGGCATCCTTCCTCCACCCGGTGAGGGGCTGTGAGTGCTGCATCCGCCCTCTCACCTTCCAGGCTCTTGGGCTCGTGGTCCAGCGTGCGTGTTTTGCAGCGGAGGTGCTCTCCCGTGCCATCAATCCAGATGTACATGGCCTGGACCTTCTCCCCCTGCGGCAGCTTCATGTACATGTGCTTGATGGCTTTGCTCAGGTGGGAGCTCGCTGAGGTGGCCATGGCTGCAGTCCTGACGAGGGGGTTCCTGCGGGGGGGAATCACAAACAGCCCCAGCTGAGAGCCCTTCCTGCACTCCCACATCTTTCAGTCCCCCCGGGCCAGGGAGGAGCAGGAGACGGCTCGGCCACAGGGCTGGCTGCCATCTCCAGCGGTTCCATGGCATTCCTCAGGGAGGATACACAGCAGCTCAGGCAGATGCCGGCACCGGGAAAGCCCTACTGCAGAGGACCTTCAAAGAGTCCCATTAACACTCAAACTCCTGTGAATAAACCAGAGCAACAGACTTCCAAAGTGCTCCTTAGCCCCGCGTGAACTTTTCACCTCCACGGTCCCCTCCACTCCACCTCTGAGCAAGGATAATGCAAGGAAAGCTTAGCTAGGGGCTTTCTTAATAAATCTGCTTCATCGAGGAGGGCTTCTCTGCCCCAGCTGCCTTCCCAGCCCGGCTGAGGTTATCCAAGCCTGTCCCAGGGCAGCAGGAAAAGCAACAGGCAGCACACGTGAGCCCCGAGCACCCCAGGCAGCGATGGGATGGTGGGAGAGGCCCTGGAAGCAGCCGGTGGGAGCTGCAGCATCCCCCCAGCCCGGGAGCCGGGCTCCCAGTGCCAGCCAGCCCACTCGTGCCCGTCCCACACCAGCCGGGCTCCACGAGTGTTTTCCAAGGAGTTTGGAAATGCCAACGGTCTGGAAATGCAGACTGACTTGGGAAGTCGCTCTAGCATCCCGGTCGCCTGCGAGGGGGCTCGGGCTGAGCCCTCCCCAGCTCACCCCGCTGTGGCTCCCACCGCCCCACTGCCCTGCCAGCAGCAACCCCCACGCGTGCATCTCCCGGCAGAGAGGAGTTCCCCCGCTCGAAGAAGCATCTGAGGAGCCTCGCGGGGGCAAAAAAAAAAAAAAAAAAAACTGCAAAGGGAATGTTTTCAACAGAAGGCTCGAGCTGCCACTTCCTCCCCCACCATTCTCCCCCCCCTTCCCCTAAAGGAGGAATTTTCCCTTGGAAGATCTGGCCGCCGGGAGCCCCGGAGCTGCCTCCCGTGCCCTGCCGTCCCGGAGGGGCTGCGGCGGGTGGCGGCCAGCGGCACCCCCCTGTCCCCGCATCCCCCCGGCCGGTACCTGGGCTCGGCGGCGGCTGCGGGCGGGCGCGGGGCTCCCACGCTCGGCTCTCGGGGCCGCGCCCGCCGCCCCTTTATGGCGGAGCAGCGCCGGCCCCGCCGCACGGATTGGGCAGCGGGGCGGGACGGGGGGGACCCGGGAGGGGGGACAGGGCCACCACCCCGCCTCTCTCCTCCTCCTCTTCCTCCTCCTCCTCCTCCTCCTCCTCCTCCTGCTCCGGCGGTATCGCGGCCCGGCCGCCCCCGGGAAAGCGGGGAGCGCCGCCGCTTCGCCTCGCACTCGGTTGGAGGGGGCGGGTGGGTGCAGAAAGCAGAGKGAAGAGGGGTCAGAAAGCGGAGGGTTTGGGTGGCTTTTGGGTCTTTTAAACGACGCTCCCACCCGGAAAAACAACTCCTCGTCCCTGGGCAGGCGGGAGCGGATCCAGGGCTTTCGGCAGCGTTTACATTAGCGGCTGCCTTGGCACAGCTCGCAGGGATGGAAACCGGCCGCCCCGGGAGAACGGGGGGAGAGAGGGAGGGAGCTCCACCAAGCCCTGGGCACAGGCTCTGGCTTGGTGCCCACGCTTGGGAGTGGGGCAAGAGCCTCGATGCCCTGCTTCTCCTCCTTGCAACTTGATTTGCAGACCCTCCCTCCAAGCCACAGGATCGGTCAGTGTCACTCGAGGGAGGAGAAATCCCCCAGCCCCACCACGGGAGCACCCACTCAGCACCCTGCAAACCGCAGGCACTGCCCGGTATTTTTCCACCCCGCCGGGTCGCTTGTCCCAACTCWGTGCAACCCCGAGCCCGGATCCAAGGGGCAGGAGAGCCACGCCAGCACGAGCGGACGGAGCCGCCACCCGCCTGTRCACACGCTGAAGGCACACGCAGGTCCCAGGCCAAGCACACGCCACGCACACGCCGGCCACGGGGCCACGGGATCCTGGGTTGCTCCCTGCCAGCCTTGGGGAGGTGGCACCAAAATTGCCAATACCCGAGAAGCTGGGAGCCTCCTGGTCATCACAGCCACCCTACCGCAGGCACYGTGCAGCCAGAGTCCAGAGGGAAAACGGCCAGGGAGAGCCGGATCCTCAGGCGGGAGGAGGTGGAAGTGCTGCCTAAAACCACACTTTGATTTATTGCCCATCTCAAGAGCCGGCTCCCCACCCTCCCTGCGGGGACAGCTTGGCTCATTCCTCACCACCACCTTGGAGCTGCCATCAGTATGTGGCAATCCCCCGAGGCTGTCCAGAGCAGAGGTGAAATTCAGGTGCTGTTCTTCTCCTGGAATTACTTGGGCAAGGCAGAGCCACCGAGCATTGCAACCACCTCCCCTCAGCACCCCAAAAACTGCCTCCTCCCAGCACCCCAGCTCCTGCACGCTGTGCACAGAGAAGTGGTTTCAGCACAAAACAAATGTGGTGTTTTACCCACGGAAATGAGCTCAGATCTCACGTTCAGCCCAAGTTCARCTGTGGTCACCAAATCTTAACAGCTCAGCTGAAGCAAAAGGAAGCAGAGCAGGGGCTGGTGCCGAGGCCCAAAATAGCTCCCATAAAGGGGAGCTGTCAAGCCACAAGCAACGTAAAGCAGCGTCCAGCCCTCTTCCTGGGTTTGTTGAGTGTTTCTTTAATCGGGACACTGACAGCTCCGATAACTCCAAATTCTTGGAATTACTCTTGCTACCTGCTAATTTCCCAAACTTTGCCCACCAGAGCTGGCTGCAGACAAGCCCAGGTGAAGGCCTTGTGCAGTGGGGTGACCCCGGTGCCGTCCAAGCCTCGGAGCTGGGCAGCTCCGGCCAGTCCTGCAGGGAATCGGGGAGCAAAGGCAGCTTGGCAATGTAAACATCTCCTCTCCATGCCATAAATCCACGCCGGGCAGCAAACCCCAGCCTGGGATAGACCCCAGAGTGGGCACGGCTGTGATGGCTGGGGTGGGAGGATGGAGCTGCCAGCCCGGGAGGGTTTGGTTGCTGGCTCATGCCCAAGTCCCCGTGTTCGCCCTGCACAAGTTGTTTACGAGCCAGCGGAGAAGCGGCAGCCGCGGACCCAGCGCCCTCTCCCGGGAAGCGCTCCGAGGCTGCCTCGCTGTGCTCACCCAGCTTGTTTACTGCCTGCCTTCCTTCCCCTCCTCCCCTTCCAGCCTGCTTTGGGACTTTTTTTTTTTTTTTTTTTTGGGAAAGCCTGCTGAGGCTGTGCCTTCGCCCAGCTGCGTGCTCCAGTGACCCTGCCGCCGACAAAAGCCTCCTCGGGGAGCTGAGGGGAGCTCGGTGCCAACAGGTGACACGACCCACGAGTGGATTTAAACCCGCCTTCAAAGGGCCCGGCGCCACGTGCGCRGCCAGACACAATGCCCCGCTCCAGGGGCGAGTCCCAACTGGCACAGATTTTTCCTTCTTCCTCCTATTAATTCGTGGGAACACCTTTATTGGCCTGGCCCGGCACTTCCCGCCGGCAYGGTTTTATATCCTGAGAGACTTGCCAAGGTTGGGAAATGGCTGCTGAGCTGCAAAGGTCGGGCAGGTTGGACTTTGTAGCCTTCTGCCTCCAAGGCAGTTGGGCAGACCCTCAGGTACAGGGCACAGTCAGGTCCCTGGGCTCTTCGGGGAAGGTTTGGGACCAGGATGAGTTTCTCACAGGTAGCATGAGACTTGCCTGCCCTTTCCCAAMTCCAGCCAGCAGCCAGGCAGTAAAGGATCATGGCTTCCCTCTCCACTGTGCCTTGCTGGGGCTGCTGTGCCCCATCCCTTGTCCATGTGTCCCCCTCCATCCCTGTCCTCCAYTTGGGAATGCCCTAAAATGCAGAACTCTCACACCATTGTGAGGGCGGGGAGAAGAGGAGGGTGGCAATTTGAGCATTAAAAAGGCAGGGTATGAAATCTCTCAGTGGCTGAGGCCTTGGGGCAGGTGGCTGATGGCTTTGCTCCTGCASTGCTGGGACTTTCCAGCACTGTGGGGCCATCTCCAAGGGTTGTCCCTCCCCACAGATCCTGGGATCTCAAATCCAGCAGACTGCTAAGCCCAGGTACCCATTTGCTCTTTACCAGCACTAAAAAAACATCTTTGGAGTAGAAAGCAATGAGGAATGTTTTGTTTTTTTTTCCCAACAGAGATGTCACACAGAGAGGATGAATTGCCCATTTTGTTGTGATGGTTAGGTCCCAGGAGGAGGCCTGACACACCCAAAATGCCTCCATCTCCAGCAATGGCATAGCTGAAAGGGAGRAGGGATGGGCATAACATCATGGAATCACAGAATGGTTTGGGTTGGAAGAGACCTGAAGGTGATCTAGTCMAACCCCCTSCAATGAGCAGGAACATCTTCACACCTCTCCTCTCCCTGTGCCCAGCATCCAAGACATCCCTAAAATGAGCTACACCACTTTCAGACCAATCCAGGGAAGCACTTTGGGCTGGGAGGACCTGCATAAAGAACTGAAATGCACCCAAGTGAGACCAAGTGTTGCATCACCTCCACCTCTGCCTACCACTGGGCACAGCTGCCTCTGCTTGGACCCACCACAGTGGGTGCTGGTGGGCTCCTGAGGGGCTCTCAGACTGGCAGAACTGGAAGTGCAGCGTGTTTTACCCATGACCAGCAACAGGAGGGCTGGAAAAACCAAGCGAGCGCTCAGTTCCGAAGTGACAGAGGACAGGGAGCTCGCAGTGGGGCGGGGGGATGAGTGCACCGGTGGGGACTGACCTTGTGCAAGCAGCAGTGGCYGAGCCGTGTCCCCCGGAGCGCTGCAGGAGGCTGACGAAACCCCCCAGGGCAGGCAGGCAGGAGCTGCTGGCCCTGGCCGTGAGCAAACATTGCACGCTCCGCAGCAGGCCCATGCTCCCTTTGAAGATGCTGCCAGGGTCAAGGGTGGCTGYGGGCTGGTGGCCAGAGGGCTTTCAGCTTCTCGGAGCAGATCACCTGGGCCGCACTGAGGGGTGATTTAGGAAAGCAAATTAAGAAGTGGAAACGTGCAGGGGCACATGCAGAGTCCAAAAAAAATCTCTCCCTCCCCATGCTGGCACCCGTGACGTGTGGAGGGAACAGGGACCTCGGGGCGCAGCACCTGCGACAGCTTCATGCCACCTCCCTCCCCACCCCTTTCTGAGCCACCCAGGTGCCTGTCCCTGTGCCCACCACCCACCTTGCACSCATGCAGGAACCCATGGCATTGCTGCATGCCCCAGCAGCCCCCTTCCCCCAGCTCCAGGGTGATCGGGCAACATTCCCAGCAGGCAGCCCCTACCTGCCACCGGCTCTGCTCCGCAGACCTTGCACAGGGGCTGAGYGCCTTCCCCGAGCACGTGCTCGCCTTCAACAGGGGAAGCTGGAAGATGAGAACGTCAGGGGCAGGCGGGATTTGAGTCCTAGAAATTGCTTGGCTCAGTTCGTTCTGTACAAGGGTGGAGAATATCCCAGGGAGAGCTCAGCACATGCCTTTCCCCGCAGTTGGAAATTGGTTACCCTGTGCATTGGCAGGCCTGATTTTGTTGGGATTTTCTTTTTTTCCCCATTTTTTTTTCTTCATTAGCGCTCTTCACAGTGTTAAATGCGCTCCCAGCCAGGTCGRGGCTGTGTTAGCTGCAGCTGGCACATTAATTTCAGCCTAACGCACCTCGCAGCTCTGTGACTGAGAGTTCAGAAATCCTCAAACCKCTGCCTAAGAGGATTAAATGGTGAATGCGGGGCTGGCATTGTAAATTATAAAAGGTRACAGCAAAGTGCCGCTGCCCATGTCCCTCCCTAATGGCTGAATTAGGTCCCTGTCCTGCCACAACACATACTTAACCCGGGCTGCTGAAGTCAACAGCCCCAGACGCTCGGATAAGGTTACACCAGTGGTTCTGCTTCAGCTGGAGAGGGGACAAGTGGAGGCAGAGCCTGCCACAGGGGCTGTCGGGTGTAAGGGACAGAGCCCAGCCTGCACAGACAGTCCCAAGCAAGGAAACMACAGACAGATGGCAACAGGCTCAAAAATACTCCTGGAGGGAGCACCAGTGGTGTGCTTGTTGAGCAAACAGATCTTTTGCACCCACAAACTGGRTTTTCAGAGCATGAAAATCACATGTAAAAAATAATTGTTATATGTTCCAGAAAGGAATTCTATTTAAGRCTGAACTGGCATTCCTCCTTGGGCAACTCTCATTTATGGTGCTGTGGACCCAATGTCCTATAAACTATTTATATGAGAACAGGATGAGGCTGTGCAGGGGGGAAAAAAATCCCACATCTTCCCCCAAAAGCTCATGTTGGGGATATAATACTTTAGCTACAGAGAAGAGCAGGTTTGTGCACTCAGGCTGGAGTTTCTCAGATGACTGAGGCTCCAGATCATCACCCAGGACCAGAAGCAATGCTGAGGTGTTTGGGGTGGGGGAAGGAAAACAACCCCCACCCTGCTGGTGGCACCAGAAGGGATGGGCAGGGCTGCTGGGGGAGGCTATGGGTGGCCAATGACCGCAGTCAGTGAGGCTGCCCCTGTATTTGGGTAGCCTTGGACTTTGGCACCRTGGGGAGCAGTGCCAGCTGACGTTGGGCAAGGATAAAAATCCCAGCCCCATCTCCTCTGCCGCCCTGGGAACGTGAGGCTCTGCCATCCATCACCCCAGGTGTGCCAAGGGAGGGCTGCTCCCCACGCCAGCAATGGAGGACGTGGGCGATTTCAGGCTGGGGCAGAGGGCGAGTAAAGCCCTCCTGACGCGTTTGATGTTGCAACCTTGCCCTTATCTGTTGTGGAGTCCAGCCCCTCAGAGCTTCCTTCTAAATCTGGGCTGTGCTCATGTGTCAATCTCTTTTTTTCAAAACCTTCTGTTTTTTCCTAAACAGCCACTCAGCTCACCTGAGCTGCTCTTGTGAAGAGACAATGTGCCCTGGGAAAACCTGGGGAGCTGCAGCCCGGCTGAGCAGAGCTCCATCCTGCCAGACCTCTTGGGGTCTCCTTTTGGGGAGAAACTCTGTGGAATGGCCCTGTGCCCTCCCACAGTAACCATGTTCCTGCTCACAGCCTTGGTCCTTTTCTGGCAGAAGCCACTACAGTCTCAGATGAACACCCACGGAGCTGCCCCAGCCTAAGCTAACGGGCATCTGCTCAGCTGCCAACTGGAAAATATTGGGGCTTTTTWAAGTTTCAGCCTTTCCCTGAGGATTTTTGAGTTTTATGTGTGAGACAGCCGCCACTCCAGCTCATTCCTAGCCCCACCCCCCGTCCCATCTCTTGGGCTCAGCAGCATAAATCTTTATGGATCCRTGATCGGAGCTACTCCTGCCCGGGGTCTCCCATAACTCCTTCCCGCAGCTCTGCCTGGCACCACTGGGACAAGCAGATGTTTTGTGGCTSCCCCTTCCCCCTCCCCACATCAGTTTGGGTTTTGGCACGGTGAGCAGCCCATGTGGCCGGGCTGTGACCGAAGGAAGGTGAATGCACATCCCTGAGAGGCTGTGCCAGTAGCCCTGGACTGTCCCCCCGGGGCTCCCAGCGCCGGCCCCACAATAAACTGGGAGCTGTCCSTGTATCCATTGGCGCTGTCACAAGCCGGTGTCTGAGATGCAGAGCCCTGCTGCTGCTGGGAACAGCTTCGCATTCCTGATTTGACAGCGCCACCTCGTGAGGTGGCCCCGCTGCTGGGGACACTGTGGGACACTGCCCTGTCCCTGCGCTGCCTGTGTAGACMGCGGGTGCCCCCAGCTCTGTCCCCGCAGCATTACAAACAGTGGGATCAAATACCCACCTGGGGAGCAGATTCTTCCTCCTSACCGGGATACAGGTCACTGCTGCTGCGAGACGGGTTCCTTCTTTTGTCTCCTCCTCCTCTTCCAGATGCAGGGTCTCCAAGGCTGGGTCTCTGCCCCCGATCTGATGAAGCAAGACAGCTGATAAGAAATGTGAGGTTGGTCTGTTTGGGGCAGACACAGGGGGGATCTCCTGTGAATTTCCATCCCAAGCTGAGCAGATGCGCTGACAGTGACCACACCCAGTGCTGAGGTGCCCCCCGGAACCCGCTTTGAAGGCAGGAAGTTTGCCCAGGCAGGGTGAGGGGAAGAGTTTCATTTCACTGCCCAAGTGTGTCTGCAGGGCTGGGGATTTAAAAAGTGACATTTCAYAGAATGACAGAATCACAGGATGGGYGAGGTCAGAAGGGACCCCTGGACATCACTTGGTCCAATGCCACAGTTCAGGCAGGGTTCCCTGAGCACAGGATTGTGCCCAGATGGTTCTGGAATATCTCCACTGAGGGAGACTCCACAACTTCTCAGGACAACCTGAGCTCAGTCACCATCACAATAAAGTTTTTCCTCATGTTCAGGTGGAAATTCCTGTTCATTTCTGCTCATGCTATTGCTCAGCACCACCGACAAGAGCCTGGCTCCATCCTCTGGACATCGCCAATACAAACGTTRATCAGATCATCTCTCAGTATTTTCCTCTGCAGCCTAAGCAGGCCTGGAGGACAGTCAGGAGGGGAGGTGCTGAGAGCCCTGTGGTCCCCAAGAGCCCTGCAGCCCCCCAGGGGTCACCAGAACAAGTGTGTCACAATCAGGGTGGCACTTCGGAACACGGCAGTGGAACACAATGCCATCATGATGCCGGTGAGTTCCCCTTTGCTGGGGGCTGCAGCCCCTCCAAACACTGGTCCACCAAAAGGTGGACAAAGAGGGTAAAAAAAAAAAAAGAGCAGTATTAGGCTTTGAAATGTAGGTYCTCCCTGGAAGAGGACATTTCCAAGGGCATCCACCCTGCAGCAGGCTGATGCCAGCCCACCTTCGTGCATCTGCATCYTTCAGACATGAATAAAGCTTCATGGACAGTGGGAGGTGTTGGGCACTGGCACTTGTGTTGAGTTTTGGGTGGATAGGGTGGGTTATGCCCAGGGTCTGGCTAAAGCAGAGGAGCACAACTTGTGCCCTACAGCCACAGCACCTCCCTTCTCCTGCCCTAAGAATGCCACCCCATTTGTGCCCAGCCTTTATGAACCCCATACCTCTGCCATTTGGGAAGCTGCTGTTCAAACTTCCCARCTCCTGCACGTCCCTGAACATCGGTGCTTTCCAAACAGCCTGTGCCACCCATCCCAAAACATTTCACACTGTCCCAGGTCCAAATCCCAAATCCTCCTGCATGTGCACAGGACAAGCTTKTACCACATATCCCCTAAAGCTGATTGATCCCCAAAACCCATCMTTTGGTTCACATTGATGCCACACCTGACAACACAAAGCCCAGGTACCTTTCTCTTCTCCTGTAGCATCCATAGCCTCCACGGACATGGAACAGCTGCTGAGAGATGATGTTTTTGTTGACTTTTTCAACACCTTTCTGAACCTTCCCGTGAGTCCATTCTGCACCATAAAACCAGGGACTATTCTGAGCTCTGCTCAGGTGAACTTTCTGTGGCATTAGAGACCCCAGGAAAATTGGGAATATACCTCATTCAGGCTGGAAAATGAGGGGAACTGAAGATCTCAGCTTGGAGCTGGAGCTCTAAAAGGGAATTTGATGCTCTTCTGTGTAGTGGGAACTAACTAGAACAGCTGGGCTCTGGGCTCCCCTGCCACTCCCCATCTCTCTCAGCTCTCCCTTTCCATTTTGACTCAGGTTTTTGGCCAGACACCCTTTTACATCAGCGGCACGAGCCGATGGTACCTGTGGCCAGAGCTGCCGAGCTACCTGGTGAGAACGTAGTCCCTGTTAGGAGGGAGGAGGAGGAGGGAGGAAGGGCACAGGGGAGGGAAGGAGCTGGCTTCTCATTGCCAAGGCCCCTGTCTGGCTCTTCTGTTCGTGCAGCTGGGCGATCATTTCAAGCCCAGGCGTCATTTTGCTTTTAAGCCCTGAGCGGAGCACAGGCCATTTAAAGTCCTGCTGCAGTTTATGGGGTCTGTCTATAAACAGCGAGAGCTGGAGCGAAGGAAAGCATGTGCGGTGGCAGAGAAGGACACAGACATCAGCCCCTCGTCCTGTATTCCTCCTAAATTCAACAGGAGCAAAGCAATCCCTGTTGATCTCCGGGCTGGCTCAGCCCTCCCTACGCACGTCCCCGTCCTCCAGAGCCGCCAGCGCCGCTCGCAGCGCTCGGATCCCAAAGCAAAAGGGAACCCGCTCCTCTGGCAGCTCCCGAGAAGCTGCCATGCCGCCCTGCCGGGGCTCTGGGGAGGCGGGCAGGCTGCGAGGAGAGGCAGCCTCACAGGAAGCCTTGCAGGCAGCCGTGCAGCGCCGGGGCTCGCACGTTTGCAGGCAGAGCTTTTGGGACACAAACAAGGGCTGTAACTATAGTATCCCCCTTCTTCCTCAGCACCGGGGCGGCTTTCATCTCCATAAAGCAACAGGGCGCCTTCCCCCTCCCCCTCCTTCYCCTGTAGCAGGGACCCGTTACTCACCCCAATCCCCAGGCAGCAGCYGGCTCCTTGCTCCCGGCTAATCCTCTCCTCGGGCGCGGGGCTTGCAGGATCTCAGCCCCGAGGCTTTACTGGCTTGGTTGGAAAAGCACCGGCTCCCTCACTTCTGCAAATCCAGCCTGTTCCTCCACCTCGTCCTCTGCCAGAAGCTCCTGGGTTTCATTCGCTCGGGGGAAGCAGGTGAGTCATCGCGGCACGGAGGAAATCGGATCGGCTTCTCCTCCGCGCCTGGGCTTCCTCTCTCCGGGGCTGTCACTGCCTGGTGCCTGCCCAGTGGGTCGTGCCTCTRCTCAGGGTTAAGAAGGCGTTGCTCATCCCATTTTTAGGGATGCAGCAGATGCCAGGGTTTCCATGGGATGTGCAGGGATTTACTCCACCACCCCGTTAGTGCAGGCTCGCTAAGCACCTGCCTAGCAAGGTTTACCGTGGGGTCCAGGGGCGGAGCGGGGCTGGAGAGCATCCTGGGRCAGGGGAAGCYGAGGTGCTGATGTTTTGGGYTTGCTGCKGTGCAGGGAYGSCCTGGGAAGACGGCTGTGGTCTSTCTCACTGGCAACAGGTCTGGGTTATGCTCACTTTGCCTCTAAAATGAGCCACCTGAGTCCAGCCAGGTGCTTGGTCAGTCTGCATGTCAACTGCCACTGGAAAGAAAGCTGTGGCAGCAGGAATGCAGATTCTCATGTCAGAAAAATAAGTGATTCATCAAGGCTTTCCTGAGTATATTGGTGTTGCTTTTCTAGTGGGGTTGAAACTCAAGGCTGGGGGAAGTTGAGGTCAAATCCCAAACTGTGGCAAAAAAAAAAAAGATGGACATTTGCAAGGGTAGCTGGACAGGCTGTTCCTGACAGGAGCAGCTTATCCTTGCAAACACCATGTGTGCACCCCACAGCCTGTCTGAATCTCCCAGTTCAGGAGTTTCTGGTCWCCTGCCCCACAGCAGCTTCTGTCAGGGAGGTTGGAGGGGGCTGGAGAGCTTTCTTGGGATCCTGCAGGCAACCTCTGATGCCATCTGTGCTCTCTGACCCACAGCAGAGCTCCTGAACTGGCAGAGTGCTGACCAGTGGCTGCTGGAGAGGTGCATCAGCGGGAGCCACGGCATGCGGCACTTCTGTGCCTTCGTCCGAGGAACAGCAGGTGGGCATGGGATGCTCCACAGCCTCTTCCAGCCAGCCACAGGCCACCTGCCTGGCAGGACAGTGGCACAGGGCTTGGGGCATGGGTAAGATCCCAGAGAAATCTTTGGAAGGTGAGCCAGCAGCAGAGCTGGGAGGGAGATGCACAACCCTGGCTCTTCTCTGCTCTGTTCCCTCAGTTCATCCAGGTGATCTTTCCTTCTGCTTCATCCGTCCTCGGGGCTTTCAGGGACTCCTTCCAACTCCCATCCCTTGTCTGATCCATAGGGGAAGAACTGATTGACTTCTGGCTCCTCACTGAAAGGCTGCTGGGCCTGGACGAGTCTGATGTGAATCAGAGGGAGCTGTTCTTGTCCCTGGTGCGCAGGCTGAGAGCCACTCACCTGCGTGAAGGCTCCAGCGTSGTCACCCTCTGCACCACCATTGTCGGTGAGAAATGCGGGAGCTGGGGATGAGCACTGCCCTTCCAGGGAGGGGTTCTCTCCTGGATGCTCCCAGGAGGGTGGGATACCATCACCTTCACGGAGTCATCTCCCTGTCAAAATTCTCTGCATCCACTTCAGGATCGCTGCCGAAAGCCAAGCACATCCAGTCCATCAGCACCAGGAGGGAGATCCTAAGCAAGATGCARGAGCAGGCCCTTCTTACAATTCAGCATTACTGGCTCCCAAAATTCTTCGTGCACTGCAAGATGGGAATGGAGGAAGAGGAGTCATGCCAGGCATTGCTCCAGGAATATCAGGAATATTTATCACAGGCCAGCAGGCAGGAGACCCCAGAGCTTTCGGAGCCCCTCCCCACGATGCACATCAGAAGGAGCCAAGGCATGTCAGAGCCTTACCGCAGCCTGAAGGCCAAAGCAGAGATCTGGACTCTGGTCAAGGAGGGGAGAGACACTCAGGAATTGAAGACTTTTCAGATGAAATCGGAGGGGCAGCCAGGGCCAGCTGAGAGCACAGATGCTTTGGGATCAAATCCCCAGCAGTCAGAGCATCCTGCAAATACCGCCTTTGGAGGCAAAGGAGGAGTAACCTTTCCTGGCAGACCTAGATCTGGTGCAGAGCAGCATCTAGAAAATCTCTGTAAGGAGAAAATCCTCTCTGACCTGCCTCCCTCTGCATCCCGTGCCCGGCCACCATCTCTGAAAAAGCCAGTCAAGACCTTGGATTTCCTTCCCTGGGTGCTCAGTGCCGAGGCCTGTGCAGGACGGCCCTTCAGAGAGTTCCTGCAGCGCCAGAACCTGTCCATGGAGACTCATCTCCTGGACCTGTGGCACGACCTGGAGGAGTTTCTGCCCGTGGTGCTGGACTCCAGCAGAGAAAACAACTTCTTCTTGCGCCATTTGATTGGGGAGCAGATCTGCAAGACYTACCTGATGGAGGGCAACGTTGAGAAACTTCCTCTGCAGACCAGCACTCTCACGAGTTTGTGGAACCGGCTGATATTTGGAGAATTCTCCCCCTCGATATTCAGAGCCCAGAAGGAGATTTGCAAGGTACACAGCAGTCAGGCTGGGAGGTACAGCTGGCATTGGTACCCCTGAAGTGRTGTGAGGGCTGTGGGAATGTTTGGAAACGAGGCATTTGGAAAATTAAGAGGAAAAGAGATTGGGAAGGGAAAAACTTGCACTGGACCAAGATGCCCCAGACCAGCAGAGAGGAGCATCCTTCCTGGTTTGCAGAGCAGGGGTGGGCAGGCACTGAATGACCCTGGTGCCCTGGCTGTTGGAGGCACATTCCAAGGGCCAGGAATGACAGGGCAGTGGCCATCCTTTGGTTCCAGCACAACCCCAGTCAAACACATTTAGAGCCCCAGCCCTTCTGGGCAGTCCCAGCTGGATGTGCAGGCATGTCCTGGGCGTGCCAGCAAGGTATAACACACCCTGTGACACTGGGGACAATCCCTCTTTGCTCCTTCTCAGGTGCTCTGCTCCTCCTACGAGGAATTTCTGGCTGATGATGACACGACCTTCCTCCAGTTTATGGTAAGGGGGATGCACAGGGGCATCYTCAGGGGGTGTCCAGGCACCTGTGGAGATGTGAAAAGCTGGAGAGAGAGGGAGGAGAAGCCCAGCATTAGTGGTCCAGCACCCCACGATGTCCCCAGCCATGCTGCCACAAAGTGACACAGCAGATCCTCCTGCTCCAGCTGCCTGGAGCAATCATCCTTAACTCTTCCAGCATCCCATTAAGGCRGCAGCACTGCAGGCACACCCTTCAAGAGCTCCCCTGAGACAGGCTGTGACCAGGCCTAAAAGCAGGGAGAGACAGAACTGCAATCTTTCAGGGCAGGCAGGGGTGAGAGAAGCACTTCTGGGAATTGATCTCCCCCCGGCTTTTTTCCTTGCCCACGCTGTTAATGTGTAATTATTGCTGCTGTTAATGTGACTCATGTGCATGACACACATGGGGTGACCCTGTCCCAGCACCAGTGCCTGGCCAGCACCAGGGGGRAGAGGCCATGCAGCCTTTTAGCCTGTGACTCAACCACCATCAAGTTTTCCACATTTGTTTTTCCACCAAAAAGGATGATATAAGGAATCAGAGTCACACAAGCACTCTTCCCAGACTGTAATTCTTCCTGGCRTCAGAAATCCCATAATAGCTACCCCAAATTCCAGCCTTACACCCAGAGACCTCCTTGCAGGCACAACCCCCCAAGCATCCACCTGCTTTGGTACCTGCACAACTTAGGTAGATTACTTTCCTCACCACAGATGGTATTCTTCTAACCAACTGCTTTCCCCAAAACAAAATGTGAAATCAGCAGCTGATCCTGGAAATGTTATGGACGGGCTGTCAGGGCTTGGTATCCTCAAAGACCTGGCTCTCAGACTCTCAGCCAGAGAGAGCTGAGCAGTTTGGAAAAGTCAGCTGGCAGCTCCTGACCCTGACTCATTAGCTGCTCCTGGCTGGAAGTTAATTAGCTGCCCAGGTTTTTAAGCATCRCTTGTCGAGGAAATCTCCCCTGCGAGGCCAGAGCTGGTCTGGGASTGCAATTAGCACTTGAGCAGGCTCAGGGGCCGTGCTCTCTGCAGGCACCGTTCCCTGAGCCAAACTCCTCCCGGCCCCTGCTTTGGTGTCAGGGGAACTGCTGGGGGCTTAGCAGGGCTATTTTTGGTGCCTGCTCTCAGATCTCAGCCYGAAACCGGCCACCCTGCCCCTGCTGCTCGGCAAACTGGCTGCGGGGAGAGGCAAAACCTGCACCAGGGTTTCGGGGGGCATGAGGGGGGCATTGCCAAGGCAGCAGCTGGAGCCAGATGCAGGGACAGCAGCCAACAAAACAGCACATGAGACTACCAGGCTGTTGGGGACACCTTCAGGGTTGTTTTCAGCCCTCCTGGGGGGATGTTGAGCTCTTGAGGAAAGCTGCAAGGTCACGTTTAGCCTAGCTGTGGCTGCCTGTCCCCAGCACATCCCAGCTTTCAGCAGATGAACGAGTAGGTGTAAGGCCTGTGCTGAGCTTTGTACTCACAAAGATTCCTTCTAGATTGCCTGAAGCTCAAGCAGAGATCTAAACTGGGCACGTTTGTAGTCTGAGGTGCAGTAAAACACTAGGGCATAGTGCTGGAGGTGGGGAGGGTGCTCTGTGCCATCAGCCCACCCTTTTGTCACCACAGGCTCCGGAGAGTGACGTCGCTGTCCCCGAGGTGCCAGGCTATGCTGTGGGCAGAGGGGAATATTTCCACCTGTCCCAGAGGATGAACCAGGCCTTGGAGCTGAACGAGGCCTTGAAGCTGAACGAGGCCTTGAAGCTGAATGAGGCCTTGAAGCTGAACCAGGCCTTGRAGCTGAAYGAGGCCTTGAAGCTGAACGAGGCCTTGAATCTGACCCAAGCCTTAAAGCCGACTGAGGCCATGAAACCAACCGAGGCCATGAAGCYGACCCAGGCCTTGAAACCAACCGAGGCCATGAAGCTGAACGAGGCCTTGAATCTGACCCAAGCCTTAAAGCCGACTGAGGCCATGAAACCAACCGAGGCCATGAAGCTGACCCAGGCCTTGAAACCAACCGAGGCCATGAAGCTGAACGAGGCCTTGAATCTGACCCAAGCCTTAAAGCCGACTGAGGCCATGAAACCAACCGAGGCCATGAAGCCGACCCAGGCCTTGAAACCAACCGAGGCCATGAAGCTGAACGAGGCCTTGAAGCTGAACGAGGCTTTGGAGCTGAACAAGGCCTTGAAGCTGAACGAGGCTTTGAAGCTGAACCAAGCCTTGAAGCCGACCGAGGCTGTGAAGCTGACCCAGGCCTTGAATCAGAACCAGGCCTTGGAGCTGAACGAGGCCTTGAATCTAAACGAGGCCTTGAATCTGACCCAGGCCATGAAGGCGACCGAGGCATTGAAGCCGACCGACGCCGTGAAGCTGACCCAGGCTGTGAAGCTGACTGAGGCACTGAAGCCAACCGAGGCTGTGAAGCTGACTGAGGCAATGAAGATGACCCAGGCTGTGAAGCTGACTGAGGCATTGAAGCCAACCGAGGCTGTGAAGCTGACTGAGGCAATGAAGCTGACCCAGGCTGTGAAGCTGACTGAGGCATTGAAGCCAACCGAGGCTGTGAAGCTGACTGAGGCAATGAAGCTGACCCAGGCTGTGAAGGCGACCGAGGCTGTGAAGCTGACCCAGGCTGTGAAGCTGACTGAGGCCATGAAGCCGACCGAGGCCGTGAAGCTGAACGAGGCCTTGAATCTAAACCAAGCCTTGAATCTGAACCAAGCCTTGAAGCTGACCCAGGCTGTGAAACCGACCGAGGCCGTGAAGCCGACCGAGGCTGTGAAGCCAACTGAGGCATTGAAACCGACCGAGGCCATGAAGCCGACCCAGGCAGTGAAGCCGACCCAGGCTGTGAAACCGACTGAGGCCATAAAGCCGACCCAGTCTGCGAAGCTGACTGAGGCCATGAAGCCGACCCAGGCTGTGAAACCAGCTGAGGCCATGAAGCCGACTGAGGCCATGAAGCCGACCCAGGCCGTGAAGCCGACCGAGGCCGTGAAGCCGACCGAGGCCGTGAAGCCGACCGAGGCCGTGAAGCCGACCGAGGCCATGAAGCCGACCGTGGCCATGAAGCCGACCGAGGCCATGAAGCCGACCGAGGCCGTGAAGCCGACCGAGGCCATGAAGCCGACCCAGGCTGTGAAGCCGACCGAGGCCTTGAAGCCGACCCAGGCTGCAAAGCCGACCCAGGCTGCAAAGCCGACCGAGGCCATGAAGCCGATCGAGGCCATGAAGCCCACCCAGGCTGCGAAGCTGAACCAAGCCTTGAAGCTGAACCAGGCCTTGAAGCTGAACCAAGCCTTGAAGCTGAACCAGGCCTTGCATGGCACGAGGAGCTTGGAGAAGATCTCCTCCAAGCACTGGCAGTCGCTGGGTTCTCGGGATCTCCAGAAAGGGGGCTCCATCCAGGCAGAGATGGAGCTGCTCTTGGACAGCTCCGGTAAGAGCAGGCTCTCAATTCCCGCTGTGGCTCGTGTGACTGAAGCCACTAAAGCACATTTTATGCTCTGGCCATGACCAGTGACCCCAAACAGGTCATGGAAATAATGGAGTGGGTTGGGACAGGAGGTCTGGGAGCTTTCATTGTACTCAAAGCTTTGGCAGTGGCCTGAGGGCCAAATTTCCTCCTGCCAGCACCAGGGGTACCAAATGCTGCATCCCTGCGCTGGCCTGGGTCACCAGATCGAATGAAGGCTGCAGCAAAGTGACCAAAGCCCGAAGCCAGCAGTGGCTGCTGCCACCCAAATTCCACATCCTGGCCTTCTCCTGAGGATGCTGGGACAGGCCATGCTGGTGGTACTGGTGTAACCCCTCAGCTTTGTCCTCTCACTTGATCTTCTGAGAATGACACCAAGTTTCTGGACACTTGTAGCACCCCTTAGGTAGCTTGTGGATCCTCATTTGTACCCCAGAAATGCAGAGTCAGGGGTAGATCATGGAACAGGACACACAAGGGGACAGGGAAGGTAACAATCAAAACCCAGCCCRCAGAGCCAGTGCTGAAAGGCTGTCATAGCCAAAGGTCATGGATGTGGAACCTGTCCCCTGTCCTCTCTCTGATGCAGAATTCGAGAGGATGATGGAAGATGAGCTGCCTTTGGAGCCTCCAAGCAAGGAAGAGGAGCTTCTGCAGCTCATGAGTACAGCACTTGGTGAGTCCAGCCTGGGCAGCAAGAGGCAGGGTGGGCTCCCAACCATCAAGCCTTGTGTATGCTCCAGTCACTGGGCGAGCAGGGGTTTTCTCTGCTGGTATCCCATCTGCTGGTGGAACATCTCCAGAAGGAGAGAAAGGCCTATCCACCCCTGAAAGGCTCTGTTTTGGGGCATTAATCCAGCCTGGGAGGGTGGGAGTGAGGGATTTCTCTGAAGCAGATGCTGAGGAGGTCACACCATGAGAGGTGAGGAGCTCCCACAGTACCCAATGTCTCCTGAGCCAGAGTCACCACACAGACACCGGCTGGAGGCTGCAGGGCCCAGCTATGAGCAGGCTCTGGCTGTCACCTGAGGAAGAGGCCAGCCCTGTTGTGTCCCCACAGAAGTTGCATCTGAGAGGATTGGTAGAGAGGAGGCTGCTGCTGCTGCGAAGAAAAAGGCCAGACAACGCAGGTGTGGCACCTTGCACATGGGGCTTTGCTGCTTCCACACTTTCCAGTTTCTCCCAGTGCTCCCCCATAGTGCCACTGCTCCCTCTTTGGTCATTTGGCCCTCTCAGATGTAGGCATAGGTGGCCTATAGGCCTAAACTGCAGAATTACCTGGGAAAGGAGAATAATAACACACATACCACATTCTCCTCCCATTCAGATTTACTCCTCACATCTTATGCACGTCTCGTGCACTCCATCCTCAATCGATGCCTGGAATGCCACCTGAGCAAAGCTCAGATTCCCAGAAAAATCACTTAAAATCACACTGTAGCCATACTTAAATCTCTGTACTCATGTCTCACCTCCTGGGAATGACTCCTTGAAGCTCCACACTGGGATATAAAGCAAATGGGAGCACAATGGCAAATGATTTCTTAAGCCCAGTCATGCAAATACACCATTCCCAACATCCACCCCAGCCCAAGGGGCCAGGCAGCAACTGCTAAAAATGTATTTTTTTTATGAGCCACCAGCCAGTGCATTGAAATTCCATCCAAACCCTCACCCCGAAACGACCAAATCGCTTCTGGGCCTGCAGTGCTGGGCTGGAGGAGGAAACACTGCAGATAAGCAGGACAGACTCYCCCAAGGCTGCCACGTGCAAGAAGAGAGCCCAGGGGAGGAGATCCAGTGCCCTGCACCATTACCCAACCTCCTCCAGGAACAGAAGTCCAGTGGGATCCCAAGCCCGGGGCTATCCCTACCAGCTGCTCCCCACCTCAGCCACTCTTCCATCAAACCTCCTTATGCATCTGTGGCTGCCCTTGATGCTCTCTGCTCTCCCATCTGGCAGGGGTTATGAGGATGGTCAAGAGGATGAGGAAGAGCGGTACCAGCAGAAGAAGAAGAAGAAGGAGAAGCAGATACAGAAACAGAAGGAAAAAGAGAAGCAGAAGAAGAAGGGAAAGCAGGAGGASGAGGAGGAGGAGGCGGATTTGCCGCCCTGGTGCAGAAAGCCCAAGTCTAGGCGTCGTTATTATGTGCAGGAAGGGACAGAGAAGATGGTAAGGAAAGACCCTGGCTGCTGGCAGGCTGAGGATGTTTGCCAGGCAAGAAAGAGAGGAGATGCTGTGGTGTCACGACAGGGACAAGTGGTATCACCTAAATGGGGTGAGGGGGTCAGACTTTGAGAGCTGCAAAAAGGCAGCAGGAAAAAGCTCCCTCCTACAGGTTCTGCAGTCCTGCTCCATGCAGGCTTCACCACATCAGCTCAGGACCAGCCAAGGGATTCCCACCATCACCTGTGGCCACCAGGGAAACTGAGAAATACCGGAAAGCAAATGGATGGGTCACAAATCCCACTGCTCCAGCTCCCAGTGGTGGGTCCAAACAGGAGGGCTCCATCTGGGATCAGTGGTGATGCCATTCATGCTGTGTCTCCACAGGAGTGGGCCTGGGATGCCATCCGAGAGCTCGTCAGGAGCTTCTGCAAGTTCCAGAGGGAGATGGCAAATCTCAGTCGCCGGGCGGAATTTGAGCACTTTCTCTATCAGGAGCGGAGAAACGAGAGGGAAAGTAGGTCCAGGGTCCTGCCAGCCCTTCTCCTCCCTCTCCAGGACACACCTGGGTTTAGGTAGAAAAGTTATCTCCCACCTCTATGACTCAGTGCCCCATTATGCTCTTGCATTTCCCTCAAACAATTTTGTATATGCAAGTTTGCATCCCTGCCACAAAGAAAGAAAAAAAACCAACCAAGCCAGGAAATACTAAATGGAGCTAAGGTGAGACAGGCCAGAAAAATAAACAAAAGGAAATTGTTTTCTGGGCAACAGGGAGCTGACCTAAACAGAAAGTTTACATTCAGGTTTGAGAGAAGGCTGGAAAAGCAGTCAGAAAAACAATCTACTAAACACACAGGAACCCCATCTAGATCAAGAAAGTTTTGTTTGTGGGGGAAAAACCAGATTTTTACCTTTCCTCCTGAYTGATCATCTGCTTGAGGGCCATGTCAGAGCCAGGGCAACAGCYAGACAGACCAGCAGGCTTTAGGAATAGGCCCTTCCCTATGGAAACAGTGAACATAAACACTCCGTGGGTGCAAAGAGGAGGAGGGATGGAAGAGATTACTGAGCTAGAGGGAAGGAGCAGTCCACTGAGGTTGAAAGACTCTCAGAAAATTGCATGCAGGTAAAGGAAGCACAGGTGAGGTGAAGCAGCAAACCCTGTGCTGGGGAGCAGCACACATCATCTCTCTCTTTCCTGTCTCAGACCTGCCCACCAGTGAAAAGAAGAGCGGAAGCCYCGCAAAAACCTCCCGCTCGGGCAAGGGCAAAGCCCGGCCGGAAAAGGTGAAGCTGATAAAGCGCCGYGTTTTGGACAAACAGATTGTCATCAATTTTCTCGTCAATGATCTCCGCTTTTACCTGGAGATGGACGGGTAAGTGGCCTTTCCACCAGGTGCTCAGAATCCCAGAATAGTTTGGGTTGGAAGGAACCTTAAAGCTCATCTCATCCCAACTCCCTTCCATGGGCAGGGACACCTTCCACTGGACCAGGCTGCTCAGGGCTCCATCCAGCTTGGCCTTGGCACCAGCCTCCCTTGGCTCTGGCCCAAACCCATCTCTGATGAAGACCTCCAAAGACTCCATTTCAACCTGCATTCACCCCCTGGCTCAGGGTTCCTGTTTGAAATCCTCTTGGTTTGGCAGTCCGAGCAATCCAACACCTTGCCCACACATTTCTGGATATCCCAGTTGTGGTGGCATTTCTCCCTTTGTCCATGTTCACAACAAACCTGCAAGAGCAATCCATGTCCAGTGCACACAGCCCAGCAGCCAACACCCCCACAACAGGCAAATCCCCATCTTTCAGTCCCCAAAAAGGGGGAACATCACCTGCCCCAGGTGAATCCTGTGACCATGAGAGTGGCAGAAGAGGGAAGTGGTTTTTYCTACCCCCTGTGTCACTGTTCCACACCTCGTGGATTGCTTTTCCTGGCCARGCAAATACTAAATTAAGAACATGACTGTCTGACCTAGCAGTTACCAGCACTTGTCTCAGAGCAAGACCCTATGTGCCTTTGCAGGTTTTCCAAGTTGGCTGACACTGTGCAAGCTGTGGCACCCCGCTTCAAACGGTCAGAAAAGCACTTTGGCTTTCTCAAAAAGAAACTAAATGTCATCAGYGGACTCTTCCTGAACTCTGACCTCCCCCCAAAGCTGCGGGTGAGACTCTAGGACCCGCCCAGGAAGATGGAGGCGGCTGCCTGCTCATTGCTCAAGGCCATTGCAGCACAGCTGGGAGCAGTGGTGGGGAAAGAGGAACCAGGCAGGGGTCTGGATCTGCTATGAGGCTTTGGGGCATGCCCTGGAGCTTGGGACTTCCCCATGGGCTGTGAGGGGTGGGAAACAATCCCCCACCAGGCCCTGATAAACTGARAACAARCATGTGGATGAGGAYRGAAGAGATGGGGATGATCCATCACYTGCTGGAGAAGTGCCRGGGCTGAAGCACCAAGATGGTGCTGCACATTCCCAATCCAGTATTTTCATTCTCCAGAGGGCAACATCGCTGTCATCCCCTCCCCACTGCAGCCACCCCATCCCCTTCCAGTAGCTCTGCCATCTCCCCTTTGGAGGGCACAATGTCTTCTGCAGGAATCCAGGTGGGATCCTGCCCTTGGGACMGGCAGCCAGGATGTAACTTGGGTCTCTTCTTAGGGACTGCTGAGGTGGGGTCAGGGAGAGGAACCTGGCCCCACCAGGACTGCTGCAAAATACTTCGGTCTCTTCTGTGCCCAGGTCAACATCTCAGAGAGAGAGAGGGATTTAATCTGGCGTTTRTCTTCCAAGAAGGGGATGACCCGGGCCATTTACCAGAGTGCCAAGGTCACCCTCTTCCCCATCCTGATGTACTTCTGGAGGAGGTACCTGTCTGTCCCTTCTCTGCCAAGGTGGAGGAGGCTCTGTGGATGCCAGCCTTTATCTGCAGCCACTTGTTCCTCTGACACACTGAAAACAGATGAGACACTCCCCAGGAGCTCAGCTGGAGTTGTCTCCTTGGAGCTTTGCTGTCCCTGGTGTTTCTCCTGCAGGTTCTGCATCTGGAAGGTGATGAGGACCTTTCGGGCCTACAGGGAAGACACGACCTTTGAGATCCCTGAGGAYGGGAGCTTTGAGATCCTTAATGAGGACAGGAGCTTTGAGCTTGTCAGGGGGGACAGCAGCTCTCGGGGCCGCAAGGAGGGCAAGAGCCCCCAGCTCCAAAAGGATGATAAGAGCCCCCGGCTCCAAAAGGATGATAAGAGCCCCCAGCTCCAAAAGGATGATAAGAGCCCCCGGCTCCAAAAGGATGATAAGAGCCCCCGGCTCCAAAAGGATGWTAAGAGCCCCCGGTTCCAAAAGGAGGACAAGAGACCCTGGCTCCAAAAGGAGGACAAGAGTCCCCAGCCCCAAAAGGAGGATAGGAGCTCTCAGATCCCCAAGAGTGGCAGGAGCTCCCAGGGCCAGACRCAGGTCAAGGTTCCAGCCTCTCCAGCTCCTGCAAAAACCTCCTCCAAAGCACCCARCATCCCCAAGAAGCTGGTGGCCATCACCTCTGCTACGCGTTTTGCTCCAGGTTTGTTCTTCCAGTGCCTGGATGGGTTTGGTGTTCTGCTGGCCTTCCCTTAAAATACCCCCTCCTCCACACAGCTTTGAGAGTGTATATGGTGCAGGAAAAATGGGATGGAAAAATTTTTTCCTGTCGAAATCAGGCAAAACTCTCCAGTGGGATTTTAGAAATTTTCTTTGGTGAATAGGAAAGTGAGYACAGAGACTTCACAAGCAAAGAGCTGTTGCATAATTCCTATTTATTTCGATAGCCAAGTTAAAAATACTCAAGCACACCCCCTGAAACAGAAATAAAACCCCCAATCTTTTGGGTTGCAAGTCAAATGGGAGCAGGAAAAGAGCCACTGTGCAGCCAAACACGAGGCACAGTGGCATTCCATGGAGGRTGCTTTGAATATCTGGCACGGGGARTAAGCTCCATCAAGATTTTAGGTGACATCTCCAGGGAAAGAAATGTTTTTTCTTCCTCATTCACTTGTTTGGTTTCGATATGCTGAATAACTCTAAACTAAAAAMCACAAAGTGGTGCTCAGCGCTGTCAGTCTGCCTGACAACCCGCTCCTTGGCTGAATATTCATCTGGAAATTGTCTAATTGATTTTCGATTAAAGGGGAAACCAAAATAGGCACATACTAATCGTGCTTTGATGGATGAGTGGGCGTCAGCAAGCTGCTGTTCTGCTCCCTGTCATTTGTCACTGTCAAGTTCTGGTTAAAAAGCAGCAGAGTTCGAGGATCTGGATCCCTCCAGGCAGGTGCTTGAGTTTCTGCTCCACAGCAGGGCTGGGGTGAAAGATCCCAGGGGCTCCAGGGGTGCCAAGCCATGTCTGTAACTCAAACCATTTCACTCTTTGGGTATTCCCATGGACAACATCCAGTGTTCACCTTGGGTCTCCACCTTGTTACAGAGCCTCACTGCACTCCCTTCTCAAATGTAGGTGTTTTAATGCAAAAGTCACCGAAAAAAAAAAACAGAAAAACCTCATGTATCACACATGTATTCCATCCAGGGATGAGCCAGAAGCCTCGTGTCACACAGGAGCTACTGGCTGTGTTATCCAGACAAGGACAGGGTCTTCAGGGAGCTCAGGGAGAAACATTCAAACTAACATTTAATCCGATTCAGTTTAGACATAAGGAAGTCGTTTTTTACACTAGAGGGTGGTAAAACACTGGCACAGGTTGCCCAGAGCAGCTGTRAATCCCTTGAAACATTCAGGATCAGGTTGGACAGARCAACCTGGGCTGCTGGCAGGTGTCCCTGCTTATGGCTGGGGGCTGGGCTAGATGGCCTTGACAGGACCTTTCCCACACAAATTATTGCGTGATTAAATCACTGCAAACTGTTGCAAGGTTTGGGATGGTCCCAAGCAGTAACTCCAGCCACAGAGAGAGACTGCACTGGGAGCTGCTCCGAGCACGTAGAATAGGGTGAGATCTCTCCAGCAGGGACATTAACCCCACAGGGACTGTCCCTGGGGCAAAAGTCCCCAAGCCACCACTCCTTGCTGCATCTCACAGGGATGAGTGACAGGAGCCAGACAGAAAAAAAACCCTCAGCCTGCCTGGCATGTGGGGACAAGATGTGTGACCCAAAAAAGCTGCTCTGTTTGTGCTGAGGTCCACACCCACTCCTGAGACAYTTCTCTGCACCTCATGCTTTCACCAATTACCTTTCTCGAAGGGACTTGCTTTTCTGACTTTAGATAAAAACCGGCGGGGGAAAAGAATTTGTTTGTTGCCTTTTAAAAAGCACCGAAATTGCTGGAGAAAACACGTGTAATTCCAGAGAAAACCTCCTGGTTTTGAGGGCGGTGCAGATGCGGTGTGAGCAGGGCTGGGGGGTGGCAGGCAGGGAGGGACCCCTGTGCCATCAGCCGGCTTCAGTGTGGCACTGTCACCGCCTGGGAGCCTGGACACACTGCCCGACCCAGRGTGGCACATGTCACCCCCACCCTGCAGCCCCCAAAACCTTCGTGCAATCAGGGACAGCTGGGGAACTCAAGTCCTTGCTCAGCCACCTTTCCTGGTGCTCCAAGTGATTTGAGGGGACACCACTGCTGTTCTCAKCTGCCATCAGAGCGCTCCATCTTTTATCCCTCCCCAGGTAAGAAGCCTGTCCTGGTCTTCAAGCTGTCAGAAGGCCTCGAGCTGCTGCTGCCGCGGCCCCCGAAGAAAGAAGAGGATCAAGAAGGTGAGGCAGCGCTGAAAGGGGCCCTCCTGCTCCTGAGGGGAGCTCCGGCAGCTGGGATGGGAGCTGGGATTTCGGGCTCCCTGCAGCAGCCCACGGTGGGAAGTTTGTGCTGTTGTTTTCCTCAGATTTAGATCCGAGCACGGAGAACAGGCCCTCGCCTGGTGAGGCTGCCCCACAGGGCAGGTAGGTGGCCCCAGAGGTGGTCACACCCCCTCCAAACCACGCCAGCACAGGCTGTGGCTCCCCTAAATCCCAAGGAGTTGTGTAGGATGCTGGTCACCCCCACCATCTCTAGTAAGTCACAGAAAATTTGGAGCTGCT